GCAGGGAGTGAGCTGGGGTCAAGACTCAGAGCCTTCAGTGGGATGTTGGCAGGATGCAGCCTGCTCCATGCACCGCTCGCTTCCCAAAACCTGCAGTCAACAACCACAGCAAGATCACAGTGTTGCTTTGGTTCAGCAAGGGTGTTCAGCAGCTGCAGGACTGTCCTCTGTCCCTCAGCTCTTGCTGGGGCAGACTGCTGAGCAGTGTGAGCTCCTCGCTCGGCTCCATCCACTGCCTCCAAAGCACCCCCAACTAGCGTTGGCAGCGTGGTCTCTATGCTAACCATAACAGCCAAGGCCCCAAGTGTTCCCTGGCAAGCTTGACCTAAATTCAGCAACAGGGTTTGCTCTGCAGCTTGCACTGCAGTGGTCGGGAGAGTCTGCAGAGGCTGTGGGGAAAAACAAACCTTAAAAAGGGGAAGCTTGGATTGAATCAAATCTGGATCACATCAGAGCTTTCTCTTCTACGTTTCTTTAATTGGAAGAATGAGAAGTTCAAAATTGGTTTATTGTTCCCAGCTCCATCTTTTTCAGTTTCTGACATAGCAGGGGTTGCTATCTCAATCAGCTGGGTTGGCTGCATGGGGAAATTCTGGCTGCTGTGATTTCTGCAAGTTGGGAAAGGACTGGACAATATTTTGTTAGGTTTCACAGTTAAAGCTCATCATCTTCAGAAGGTATTCACTGGTCTGATTTGGGCTATTGCAGTGCAACTCGGTAAGCAAAAAAAGTGGCTTCAGCAAGTTCCTGTCTTGGGGAACAAGAAAAGAGCCAGGGCTCAATGACAACAAGCTAAACAGGTCTGCATGTTTTGTGCCTTTAACTACCCTAACCTCCAGAGGACTCAGCAATGATATGCTTAATCCTGGGTGTTTGGCCAGCTCTTAACTTTGTTAGGCAGCTCCCTGGAGGGAGAACAAAGCTGCTCACATATGCACAGGTCTGAGCCGCTGGCGGTGCTCCAGAAAACACTCCTCTCTGCTGCTGAAGAAGGATGCTCTGTGAGGCTGTGCTTGTGCTGATTCAGTCATGTCCCCAGGAGGGATTAATGCTCAGCAGAGCTGACCTGGCACAGGAAAGAAAAGGGAATTGCTGCTCTTCCATGGAGAGAGCCAGGGGGGCTGCTGGCTTTAGGTGTGGCAGGAGGAAAGCTGAGAGCGACTGGTGTGGCCCTATGCTCTGGGCAAGCTGGGTGCTCTGGCAGCCTCCTGGGCTGGCATCACATGGCTCCGGTCTGAAATGCTGACCTCATCCCAAATGCAGACAATGAAGGCAAAGCAAAGAGAAAGCAGAGTCACCCTTCAGTTTCCCTATCTGACCTAGCCATAAAAACTCAATTTGAAGGCGGCATTAGGGAAGTAAGATATCGTTTATCAGGAGCGACAGATCCAATCTATAAATTAGCATGCCCAGCTGGGAGTCAGGAGGCAGAGATATCTATCAATTCTCCCTGACAGGTGGACACAGGCACACAGATTTGGTCAACTCCCACAGCAGCACTGGTCTCCAGCAGGTCTGAGGACCCAGAAGTACTCCGAGGGCAGCACCAGTGACAGGGAGATGACAGAGAAGAGCCCTGCACACAGGCACTGCTCCTGGCCCTCTGCTCTTCTCCACTCCACTGTGACACAGTGGTAAGAGGCCCCCAGCAGAACAGGGTTGCTTCTCAATCCCAAGATATAGGATATTTTTAAATGCTCCATCAAAGCATTCGGTATATGATGAGTTGCAAAACTGCAGTGGCCCATCAGGGAGAAGCTGGCTATTTTAAGATCTACATCTATACAGCTCGCCTCCACCTTCTGAAAATAGAGGTTAAACCATAGAAATAACATCTGTAAGACCTACACAGACATAACCAAAGATGCATACAAACTGCTGCCTCTGTGATTTGGGGTTTTAGGGCTGCTTATCTCCCTGCCCCAGTGACTTTTGGTGATAATTGGCACGATTGTATGGGGAGAGCTTCCAGAAGAGGAACAGCACCAAAACAATGGGGTTTAGGGGATGCCACCAAGAAGACTGTTAGAGGTTCCCATAAATAAAACCCCAAGAAGACTGTTAGAGGTTCCCATAAATAAAATCCCATGAAGACAGCAGGTACAGCCAGCCTTTATAAGGCTATAAAACACCGCCAGCTGCCACGAGGGCTGGAAGGGAAGGGTGAGGAATCTCATTTTCCAGGATTTAAAGCAGGTGAGAGAGTTATCAATGTGTGTTTCTAATAGCAATTAACGCTGCCATTCAGAAGCACTTAAGCTCTAGCTAGTGAAGGCTCCAACCGTGTGCCAGCACTGCCCTCTAGTGTCACTCGTACCGCTTGGCTCCGGCAGAGCCCCAAAACGCAGCTCCTGGTGCCTCGTCCCAGCGGTCGTTGCTACCTCATCGGCTGGGCTGCATGTTATCAGCTGGAATACTTCCTTGTAAGTAGGTCACGTAACTGATGCGGGAAGAGGAGAGTTTTCGGGGGCAGTAACACCTGTCTTGTTGTAACGTAGTGTACAGCAGAGTGTGAGGATTGTCTTGTGCGCATAGGGAAGTCAATCGCTGCTGCTATAGCATAATAAATTTACTCTCTAAGGAAGTTAAATACACTTAACTTCTGAAAACCTAAGTTGAACTATAACTGCGGCCTTCCGTGAGCTCCAGCTTGTGGAATCCTCAATAAACAACAGGTAACAGGAACCACAGGGTGAAATCTTGAAGTAGGCAGGCAGCTGTAGGCATGGAAAACGTGCCTTATTCAGAGGGAGATACCCAGCCATTAGAGTCCCACTGAGACCCCTGGGCACAGTTTTAAGTATGGTGGATGTCTTATGTTTGGGAGCCTGGCCCACACAGCCGCCACTGTGGCCCCAGCTCTTGTAACCAATTTATTAGCACCTTCCTCTGCCATCTTAGAAGCACCTCTGCCATGAAGCACGGGCAGGTAGGCAGAGCTCTGGCACAGCAACGCTGCCAGACAGCTTTCCACCCAGGCAAGCGTCTATTCAAAGCACTTGTCAAAAGCATTGCCATGCTGCAGATGAGCTCTGCCTGCGGAGATTGACCAGCTCAGCTATCACAGAACAGCGTGATTATTGGACAATAAATCACTTTTATTTTGGAAAACACTGTCAGCACTGGGGAGTTATACTGTCAGAGCTGAGATAGCTGTTCTGGTCAATTTTCCCATGCGGACGTGCCATACATGCACTATAAGTCTGGAGAATCATCTCCTGAGAGAAGCAATGAACACTTTATTGATTGGGATATTTCAAACTCATGTGGGACAAAGCAATCTTCCCCATGCTGAAAGAACAGACAGCATGTGACTGAGGGCTGGGGCTTCTTTTTTCCATTTCTAATTTCTGTGCTTAGTTTGGAGAAGACAGCTTGAGCAAAATGCAAAGGCAAAAAGATCTCTATCTGGCCCTAGCAATGTCAAACTTGCTTCATCATTGGTAGGAAAGGTATGTTTTAAATTCAAGATATGTGCAGTACTGAAACCACGTGCATGTGTAAGAGAGCAGAGCTGCTGGGAGGGCAGTTAACACCACAGACCTTGTCTTGGAAATCACTAGGAATTGTGCTTTCTGTGGGTAGCAGCCCCAGGTCATCCAACACAAGGTCCTCTAGCAGTGCCTGCTGAACTGAGGGGTCAGTATTGTACAGAGCAATGTTTGACACTGAGCTCAGGCTGCCTCCCATTGCTGCATGCATTCCGCCATTACATTCAGCAGCTTGATTGCTCAGCAATATGAATTGGCAACATGATGGAGGGTTTGGTATTGAACTGGCTCCTTTGTTACAAAGCACTGTTTAGAGAATATGGGACATGTTGGCAGGGGGGCACAGGCAAATGGGAGCTTTATGCCTGGCGCAGTGACCCGTAGCTGTGGGACAGTCCCTTCAGCCTACACCCACCCCTCGGAAGCAGTGCGTTCCTGCATGCTTGCATTGCAGCAGTGGGTGCAGAGTTCAGCGCCACCCACAAGCCAGTCACGCAGCACTGAACAGCACCAGCAGTGACTTTTTTATACTTAGATGTACACGTTGGCAAGGCAGGAAGAGCAATAAAGCCGTCAGCACTTCCCTGTGCTGCCTTTATGAGCTGCATGTGGATGTCACTGTGCTTATTTCACTCAGGTTGTACCGGGAAGGTTTTATTTACCTCCACACAATGAGAACTTTATGTCTGCAAGTAAGACTGGCACGTGAGGGATGCTGACAGGAGACAGCATGGCCGGTGTTATTCCTGGTACTGCTATCTGCAGCTCCTTAGTGCCTGGAGGCCTGCATCCCAGCTGGCTGCCAGCCCTGGGAGCCTGAACAGACCACACTAGGGAGAGGAGTTGCCTAAGAGGCAGGGAGGGGAATGGGTACATAAGGCCTTTATTTCCCACAGTAGAACATGTAGGCCAAGAAGCCTACAGATGTTATGAGCCATGAAATAAGTAATCTGTGCCTGAATAATCCCCCAATAAAGGAGAAGAGCTGCCCTCGTGTGATGTGGCACCCCTTGAGCAGAATCGGGGCAGGAAAGGCAGGCGGGAGGAAACAACCCCCAACAAAGCACCGGGAAGTCTACAAAAAGCGAGCGGAGCACAGAAACTGCCGTGCTGCGGTCTTAAAGAAAGCACAATACAGCTGAGCACCGGCACAGGCTGCCCAGGGAGGCCGCGGCTCCACTCCGCGGAGATGCCCGGCGCCGGCCGTCCCGCTCCGGCCGGCCGGAGGGGGTTGGACGGACGGACTCGTGGCTCGCTGCCAGACCGCCGCCACTCCCCCGCCGGGCGCTCCCGCCATGGCGGCACGGCCTACAGGCCGGGGAGGCGGTGAGCGGCGCCCGCGGGGCGTGAATAAAGTGCGGCGGGCGGGGCCGCGGCGCTCCGGGAAGCGCGGGGCCGGCGGCGGCGGCGGAGGCGGCGGTCGGAGCGGCGGGTGAGCGGGGCCGGCGGCGGGAGGAGGCGGGAGGCGGCGCGGGGCCGGGCGGACCGGGCTGACGGCCTGCGGCCGCCATGACCAGATCGCAGCTGACGCGGACCGGGATCCTGCGGATGGCGCTGGGCGGTGCCGCCGACCCGCTGCTGCCGGCGGAGGACGGCGGGGGCCGGCGGGCGCCTTTCGTGCTGCGAGCCCTGCGCATCGCCCTGGTGGTCAGCCTCTACTGGTTCGTCTCCATCACCATGGTGTTCCTCAACAAGTACCTGCTGGACAGCCCCTCGCTGCGACTCGACGCCCCGCTCTTCGTCACCTTCTTCCAGTGCGCCGTGACGGCCGCCCTGTGCCTTGGCCTCAGCCTGGGGGCCGCCTGCGGGCCCTGCGCCTCGCTGCCCGCCCTGCGCCTCGACCCCAAGGTGTCCCGCAGCGTCCTGCCCCTCTCCGTCGTCTTCATCGGCATGGTCACCTCCAACAACCTCTGCCTCAAGCACGTCGGCGTGGCCTTCTACAACGTGGGGCGCTCGCTCACCACTGTCTTCAACGTGCTGCTCTCCTATCTGCTCCTCAAGCAGACCACCTCCCTCTATGCCCTCCTGGCCTGTGGCATCATCATCGGTGAGTTGGGAACGGGCCCGCATCTGCCCCAAAACCTCAGAGAGCCCAAGGAGATGCTCCTGAGGCCAGGCAGGTGGTCAGAGGGGGACCCGGTTAATGGGACTGTGGTGTCTCCTTCTGGGCTGCAGCACGTCGATGTGCCACTGTGCCCAGTGGAGTTAACACCCACTGAATGGTCCTTGGTTGTTCTCTTGATGCTTCAGTCCTTGTATCTGCGGACAGCAGAACAGTAACTTCCCACTTCCCTGCCAAGGGCTTCCTACCTGCTTTTTACAAGCGTTGCTTAGCTCTTGGTAGGCAGAGCACTGCTAAGTAAACTGCATTGGCAGCTTCCTCAAGGTGGGTGGTGATCCTGTGGGATGGTCAGGTTTGCTAGTGCTTTTCTGGCTGAAGGCTTAGAGCTAAAGCTGAACCCAAACTCTTAACCAAACAGAAGCAGGCTGCCTCTTTGGAAGTCATCCCTACATATGCATCTGCTTCTGGATGAGATGGGGTAACTGTAGGGCTCTTTCCTTGCCCTGCTCTAGGCAGTCTGCCTCACGTGTCTGTAGCACTAGGTAACTTGTTAGGAAATTACTCTTTTCCTTGACTTGCTGTCACTTTAAGCCCTAATGACTATCTATTTTTTAATGAAGCTTCATTGCCTTCACTTAGTACCATTTCTTTTCTGCAAAGGCCACAGGAAAAACTACTTGTTTTCTCCCTATTTTCAAGTGAATGTTAGTTATTGACTTTGAAAACAATGTCAGTATTTATTTAAACTGCCAGCACTGTCGAGACCATACAATACAGAATGCCAATTCAGATAGGATTAGTTAGTAAAATCAAGCATAAAGCACCACCAGAAAATCTGGTTGTGTGGTAAGAACGTAGGGCAGGGCATTAACTGGCTTAGTGGGAATTGCTCGCAAGTCTACTGTTCCAAAGTTCAGCAAAAAGAAAAGCTGCCTTCCATTTGGGGCCATTCAACATCAGGGATGGTGAGATATTGACTTCCATCCAGTTCCTGATGACCATGTGTTCATGCTGATGCTTAGGCAAGCAGATGGATTTCAATAAGACAAAATAAGCTCTCCAGGAGAGGTGAACAGGGGACCACTGTGGCTGAACAGCTGTTGGCTTTTCCCCCCAAGTGAATGCAAGCACTTGGCTCCACCTGGTCCAACATTCAGATGTTCTCCAAGTCTGTGGTGCTTGCCAGCCCTTCCAGGTTACTTTAAGGCTCAATCTCCCAGCTCCTCCTTCTGCAGTAGGTGCATTGCCTGTATGCCTGCCAGCATAGCCAGGCATCCTCTGTGCCCTGACACAGAGTTCTTCCTGTCTTCTTCCTATGCATTGAACTTGGGCTTAGTTTAAAGCATGTCTAGCTTTGCAGGGAGCTTCCCACATGGCTCCCAGTATGAAGCAGCTAATGCAAAGGCACTGCAGTACTTTGTCAATAGGTGATCTCCGTGTTTATATTCTGTTGATAAGATGGATAGGGAGAAGTCTCTTTCTGCCCTGGAGCCTGTATCTCCTATTTCAGAGATGGCTAAAGAGTGAGCATCAAAGTTTAATGCAGTGAAGACCTCTTTCTGCCTTACAATCTCTTTTTGATCAAGTTCTTTAGTGTTACACCCATATGTAATACTTTCCATCTTTCCATAACCTATCTTTCTGTTATTGCTAACAGTGCAGCAAATCCTAGGTGGGCTGTGAGGCTTTTTTTCTAATTTTTTTAAACTTTTAGGATAAGAGGAATGTGTCACTACGTGTCCAGATTGCTGTCTTTTTAATTAAGATCATTTAGTCTCCTTCTGAAAGTGACCTATATACAAAGAATAGCTTTAGCTTTTGTTCTCAGCTTTTTGGAGCAATAGTTTCTGAGCTTTTGCTGCCTTCTCAGTGTGGAATCAGTCCTCTGAGACCAACGGATAGCACAATTAATTACCTGCACTCCTAAAATAAATCTTCCCAGGACAGTAATCACGACACTTTGTGGGTTAACATAATAGGAAGGGGAAGCCTTCAAGCCTGTCTCTGCTTGTGGCTGTGATTTTCAAGTATAAGGTAGATGATGAATTGCTGACTGTATGTTTTGAGTCCTTTGGCAGTTCAGATGATACCTGATTTCTTTGATTGCAGGTGGCTTCTGGCTGGGTGTTGACCAGGAAGGAGCAGAGGGCACTCTATCATGGACAGGTATAATCTTTGGGATCTTAGCAAGCCTGTGTGTCTCACTCAATGCCATCTACACCAAGAAAGTGCTGCCTGTAGTGGATGGTAGCATCTGGCACCTGACCTTCTACAACAACATGAATGCTTGCGTCCTGTTCCTCCCACTCTTGATGATCACAGGCGAGTTCCACACCCTCTACCACTTCGACAAACTGGGGAGCCTCAGCTTTTGGGGTATGATGACCCTGGGGGGAGTGTTTGGCTTTGCCATTGGGTATGTGACTGGACTGCAGATCAAGTTTACCAGTCCACTCACCCACAACGTCTCTGGGACAGCCAAGGCCTGCGCCCAAACAGTTCTGGCCGTTGTCTACTTTGAAGAGACCAAGAGCTTATTGTGGTGGACCAGTAACTTGATGGTTCTGGGGGGGTTCCTTTGCCTACACGTGGGTGAAAGGGCTGGAGATGAGAAAAGCACAAGAGGATCCTAATCTCAAAAGCAGTGAAAAAAATGAGACTGGTGTGTAGGAAGGTCCAGCCTGCACCTCTGTTTCTGCACCTAGGGAGTTAACTTTCAGTACTCCTTCCTGGGGAGAAGAGCAAGGAACAGGAAGAAAATTCACCTGCAGTGAATGGGGAGCTGTGTCAGGAATGAGAGCCAAAGACCTAACTGAATTATGTTTTATCCACAGGATTTCCCCATCTCAGAGGCAGGGTGAGAGCATGTGTTCTTGAGAATTATCAGGTTGGGCTTTTTTGTGGTCATTTTGTAAAATGGATATTGCTGTTGACCTAGTCTGAGTAATTTCTGTCTCTGGGGGGATTTGGGGGCAGGGGCATATAGTGGACAAAGAATGGGGAGGGAGCTTTGTGTAGCTAGGAGTCTAGAATGAATTAAGGGACTGAAGTTGCAAAATCCTGAAGCTCCATGTGTAGGAGGACGGGGTAGCCAAGCTGTTGGGGATAGTCTCCTGTGAACTCTTCTGCTGCGTGTGCGCACAAACACACACACACACACACACACACACACACACACACACACAGCAAATGGCAGTAGCAGTTATTGTTGCCTAGTTCAATGCCAAGGACTGGAAATTCCCTCCCTTCTGGTTCTCTACAAGCTGAAGGACACAGCAGTGCCTCTCAATCCCCTTTCCCAAAGTCAGTATCTCATCCCGCAGAGGTCTATCCTGCCTGTTTCTCATAAATGGTTTCTTACTTGGGGAATTATGTTCAGAAGCAGGGATGAAACTTCTCATTCCCTCCATGTCTTTTCCTGAGAGGGAAAGCATTGTTCTCTGAAGTGACCGGTCTTATATCAGTCCTCTGAGACAGAATGATAGCACGGTGAGTTATCTTTGCTACTCTTGTAGAGGAGCAAGGGTGGCATCTGCCTTTCTCAGTGATGAGATGGAGAGTTGTCCACTGTGCTTCCTTCAGAAGGATGTGCACCGCGCCATCTTTGGTGTTAGCGTTTCGGTTATCCCCTTATTCCCTCCGGCGAACCCTTCGCTAAAAATAACTTTGGAATGTCGCGTTTTGTAATCCCTAAATCCAGCCCAATAAAATCCGGGTCGTTCTCTGCGTCCGTTCGTGTTGGCGTGTGGGAGGGGCGGGCGAAAGGGCGGCTTTCACCCGGCGCGGCCGTAAGGGGGCGCCGTAACACTGGGCCGCTGCCTCCTCGCCCTGCCCGCCCCGGGACCGCCCCATCGCAATCACGGCGGGGCGGTCCCGGGGCGAGGCGAGGCGGCCGCGGCGGTTGCCCGTGATGGCGGCGGCCCCGTCCCCGCCGCGCGGCTTCTGCCGCTCCGTGCACTGGTTCCGCCGCGGACTGCGGCTCCACGACAACCCGGCGCTGCAGGCGGCTCTGCGGGACGCCGCCTCCATCCGCTGCATCTACATCCTGGACCCTTGGTTCGCCGCCTCCTCGGCCGTGGGCATCAACCGCTGGCGGTGAGCGGGGGGCTGGGGTTGCAGGGAGATCGGAGCTGGCGGTGCGGGAGGCTGCCGGGAACTTTATGTAACGTTATTAAACTTCCCCTAAGCCGGTTGCGCCTCCCCGCCTCCGTCTCTCTGGTTCGTGGAGGGGGTGCGTTGGCCCCGCTGCGTGGTCAAACCGTTCGCTTCTTCCCTCCGAACGTAGGCAAACGTTTGGGGTGAGTCACGGCTGTGCAGAAAGCGTGCGTACCCAGTAGGCAGTGACGTTACATAACGCTGCCGTGCCGAGTCTCGCTGCCCCAGCCTTTGGAAATCCCGAGGCAGGTAGGGGTTCACCTCTGCGAGGCTGCCCGGTGTGCAGGTGAGCACATCTCTGCCCTCGTGTCACCCAGCGGGTGCTGGACGGGGCGCCCACCTGGCTGGAAATCCTCCTAAGCGCTCCGCTGTGTCACGTGGCCACGCGTCGGGCTGGGGAAGCTGTGGCTGTGCCGGCTGCTAGCCCTGCTGCGGCTGGGGGGCTGCTGGGGGCTGCTTCCCAGGCATTTCTAGAAGGACTGAAGGCCGGCGGTGTGCAGCAGTCACCACAGTGCAGGTGTTCAAATCACAGAAATTGGTTCATCGTGTTACTGTTGTGGCGCGAATTGCTCCGTCCGTAGGGCAGACTTCCAAGCGGCAGCAGCAGGCAGGAGTGCTGCTGACATTGCTCATCTAGGAGAGCCAGAGCAATGCTCCCAACAGAGCAGTTTCATAAAAGACAAAACCACCTTCCCTTGCAGGTGTGTACCTACTGCAAATGACAGGAGTTAGTGCCACTGGGCTGCTGGGCAGAAGTGTCTTAGCAAACTGCTTACGTTTACTGCAGTCCTCTTGTTTCCCCAAAGGAACCCTGGCTTAGTTTTGCTTTTTTTTTTTTGTTGTTCATTTTTGTTCATTTCATTCTGAGATCTGTGCTTCAAAGTGAATATTTACTTTTTACCTAGCCTCCAGAAATGTATTGTGTTGAAAATCCCTTATTACTTAATTGCATATCACATGTAAGCTATATAGGGCTATAACCCATGTTTAATCTTCAGAGCACCTTGGAAGGGTGCTATTCCTATTTAAAAGATGGGATGTGGACAGGGAGTATGGGAATAGTTAGTTCTGGTTATCCAAGCCTGCTTCTGGGACTTATGTGCTTTGATGCCTGGCCTTTGTTGTCCTAACCCCTCAGCCCCTTCTCTTTCAAGAAGTGCAGAGGGATCTCGTTCTACCACAAAGCTTACAATTCCCTTTACTGCAATACAGCTGAGCAGAGAGCTGGCCTGTCCTGTTTGCAGGGCAGCTGTAGGTTAGCCTTCCTCTTAACTGTGCATAATTTTAAGAGAGCTGATGCAGATACCTGTGTCTTCTGGGTCACACTGCCCAGTGGGCACGTAGGATTGGGGAGAGGCAGAGGTCGGCAGAAACACTTACCAAGGGCTGTGAGTTTCCCAGCAGTGCCACGTGCTGCTGCAGAGATTAAAGTTTTAAATCCAGTGTCTTTCACAGGGGTGGGCAAACAAACTGGGGTTAAGATGTATTCTAGTGAAGGCAAGAACTGTACAGATGTAGTTGTTTCGTAGCAAAATGGAGGATCAGTAAGCTGCAACGTTAAGAATTTAAAGGCATAAATGCAAAAAGCACTTTAAATGCTTTTTGACACTTTTGGGGTGGGAGGAAATAGTCGATTGTCTTGGCATGCTCTCATCTTTGTGTCTCTGTGGTGCAAGATGAACTGCAGTTCTGTCTGCAGCCGTTCTAAGTACAGATGGCTCTTGCCTTGGGAGGTCTTGGTGCTCAGTTTCTTGCTGTTGGTGAGTTAGGAGTGTATGTTTCTCTGCTGTGAGTGTACATTGCTCTGCCATATCCTTTCCTGTTCTGAGACAGAACTGTAAAACTTGCACAGTTCTTGCAGCAATCCTTGGAGTATTGTATTGATATCTTTCTACTTCAAATGCAAAATTCCCCCTGTTCAGAATCCAAGAAGAGTATGAATTATATGATCTATGCTCTTTTCCACGCAGATGATACAATGTGGGGAAAGTAATTGGCGGTGGGTACTCACAGCTTTGAGAGAGAGCATGGATCAGAAAAGAGGAAAGAAGGAAAAAATCCTGAAAAGTTCTTGTACCTGGCTGAGCAGAACTTGCATAAGAATGGTTGGGAGCAGTCTGGTGCAGCAGTCTCATAACTGTAGACCAATGAGGGATGAATAAGAAGTCTTGCTTGCTTTTTATTTTGTTGTTGTTGTTTTGTTTTGCTCTAACTTTCAGTTTGATTGGTGATGCAGATTTGTTGGAGTCCACACAGAGCTTCCTCACTTGTCTTTGGCTGGAGCCAGTCTGATGGTAACTGCTCTTTTTCCTTCTCTGCAGATTTCTGCTCCAGTCTCTGGAAGATCTGGACAACAGTTTAAGGAAACTCAACTCTCGCCTGTTTGTGGTGCGAGGACAGCCAACAGATGTCTTCCCAAGGCTTTTTAAAGTAAGAGAATACGCTACTTTTCTTAAGTGCAGTGAGGAAAAAATAATGTCCCATTGTTGGAGATCACTTGGCTTCTTGTTACCTTCAGTGCTATCCGTTATGGCAAGCTTAGGAGCTGTACATACTCTTGTACTCAACTTACAAAAAAAATGAGTAGAGTTACCCACTGCTGAGTGCCTGTACTTCTCTTTCTGGACAGTGGCTTTTGCCTTTGCTTTTGCACATCAGGCCTCACAGGTCTGTGCTGTAGTCCTGCTGCCTTTACTCAGTAGAAGCATCATATCCATATGCCTTTAGAGACGACTGAAAAAAAAAAAAAGCATATTGATCTGTAGGTGAAGTGCAAATAAGGCTTTGCGTTATCATTCAAAATTCAGAAGCTTTTATGTTAGCTGACCTTCCTTGTCTGCTTCCATTCACGGCTGCAGTCAGACAGCTCAGCAGCAAAACATAGCTTGGGTCCAAGCTCCTTGTTGATGTACTGTTTAGCACAATGGAATATGCACTGACCTCTGTGGTCAATCATGGGTTGGTGGGATACATTTCTAAAGTGATACTTCAGTACTGCAGACTGTGAGACAGGCAAGGTTGGCAAGAGGATCTCCTGGAATATAAAGGTCCCTCAAGCGTTAGAAGTATATGACTCATTCTTCTCTGTCACGTCCTGACATTGTGCTTGCCATCATTTTTGAAGCTTTCTGACAGCATTTTTGCTAGAATGACAAAGCTACAGGAAAACAGGGTTCACCATGGTCTGATAAGCTGTGTTTGTCATGTAGATTGTACATCACGTATGGTTTACAGAAGTAGTGCCCCCAAAACCTGCTGTAGCCCAGCTGCAGAAGAGGAAAGGTAAACTTGAGTCAGTACCCTCCTGCCGTATGCTATTCTGATGTATATCTGTGTGAGGAGGGCAGTCCTGGGGAGGCAGAGTGTATGCAGATCAGAAAGTGCATCAGTGTTTATTTTGGCTTCTCCAGGTTAACACATGACAGAACCTGTGTGCTAGTTTCTTTCAGCCTTTTTAGAGTCTGGGTTATTTTTATCTTTTGATCTGCAAATAAGTTTGAGCTATTAGTAGCTAGCCCATACTCTCTTTATTTTAGTTCAAGGACTGGGTACTCAAAAGAGAAGTGAAACTGTGTGGGAGAAATATACCTACTTGATCAAAGAAACAACACGTAGCTGGTAGAGGCTGAGGTTTGGAGGTATGGCTGTGGGATCAGCCAGGCCTAGGTGTTGGTACAATCTCTTCTGACTGGGCCAGTGATTCAGTGGGTATGAAAATAATATTGGTGGCTTTTCTTGTTTTTTGGTTTTTTTTTTCATGCTACAACAAGGTAAATGCGTGGCATTCATGGCAATTCAGGCCTGTCCAGATAAACTGAGCAGCAAATACTGGACAAATGAATGACAGCAGCTCGTACTTTGCTCTCAGCTGTTGTGGAGAGTTGGCACATGTGGTAATGCAGCACTTATGCCCAATTAATTTCTGCTCTTGCTGCTGGGAGCTGAGTTGTGTTGTTGGTAACTGTTGCTGCAGTGGCAGTGTGTGCATGGGTACATTGAGGCAGGCAGATGAAGTGTACGCGTTAGCTCTGCATGGACCTTTGTAATAGTATAAGATTTTTGTCTCCTGCTGTATTACATACATACTGTAGTTCTCTACTCTTCCTGATTTTAATTTTAGGATTCAATCTCACAGTTCAGAAAGGAAGGGAGGCTTGTATGGTTGTTTTTTTGCTCCTAAATTCCCATCCCAGTCTTGGGTCATTGTTTTTAAATGATCATTAGCGAACTAATAACATCTGCTCCTTGTGCACTGTTTGTGTTTCTGATGCCCCTTAGGTCTGGTTCTGAGATGGAAGAGACCATCCTGTGCTTACAGAGGTGATTCATTGTCTCACTTGGAGACTGGTTCACGTCTTGCTTGTGTGCAGGTTTTTTTAAGTGTCTCTATAGATTTCTGGCTGTGTTTGACTGGAGTGTTTGCTAAACAAATCCGTGGGCTGCTGCTCTGTTTGATGGATGCCTCCGGAGGGTCACTGTGGAAACCATTAAGCCTCTTCTCATAGGATTCATTTTCTGAGGAAAACTAGGCCATAGTCTTTGAGAGGAAACTGTGCACTGCCAAAGCCTGGAA